ATGTAGCTGTTGGAGAGAAGGCACTCATACCATCTTTTTCTTATGACTAATCTTCAGAAGCTGCCTGTATAAAGTTGTTCAGCTCTTGGGAAACTGGACTACTTATGCTGCAACAAAGTACAATATAATAAAGCTAAAAATGAGAAGCAAGTATGTACGAATGCTGTACAGAGCATGAGCTGGAAGGTAAGCCTAGGGTATACTGGAGTTTAAATCGCTCAAAACACCATGAAAGAATTTTTCTATTTGCACAGAAAAATGTACATGTTGTATTCCAGTGGTCTTGGAGAATACAGAAAATCAGAGTATTTTCCATAGGAATAGAAATGCTACTCACTAATGGGAGTGTCCTTCATCAAGTTCCATTCGAGCATCATAGCTAATAAAATTTCTCAGTAGGAAGTATGGCTTCTTGGTGGCTTGTTGGGGATTTTCAAGGTTTCAGCAGGGCTTATGAACCCAGAACCAAGCTGGTTCTGTGTGGGAATGGATGTTTCAATGCTGTGGTCCCTTGGGTTCCAATCGGACTTGTTATGAATAGGCCCAGCTTCAGTTTAATGCTGAAACTAAGGTAGCATCAGCCTCTCTCAAAACACTGGAAGCACTTGCAAAGTTATTGGAGCTATGCCTGGACTTCTTCAGGACACCTCATATCCAGCACTGTGCAGCACTGACATAGGTTTCTGTACAGTCATCTGTAATGTGTCACTACTTTCTCCAGCATGATAACGAGCACCTATGTTTGCTTCTGCCACCCACCCCCACACCCCATCTAGAGTATCCTTGCCTTTTGTTTGCCAAGATAAAGACCGTCTGTCATGGAAATTACAAGTGTTGTGTAACTCTTTATTGTCAAAGATAATGGAAACTTTCAGATACAAATGCTTTCCTATAGGGTGGTGAATAACTTTTTTGTTGTTGTTGCTAATCATTGTCAGCATAATATTATTTATTGGAATTTTTCTCTCTTTTTAGTCTTAATACACTGTGAAAAAAAAAGGAAAAAAAAGTCCCTTATATTAACTCCTTGTGGCAAATTAAGCTTGTTTTAATATTTGAAACTCTATGATAGCACAGGTTAATATTAAATTTGACTGCAGTTTTTGGGGAGAATATTGGTAGTCTGAAGTTAATGTCTTGTGCTTCCATTGTAGTCAGCTTTGGTAAAGAGCAACTGCTTTGTTGCTTCTGTTCAGCAGCTTATGTCTTGTTCTTAGAAAGTATAACAGAGTTCAAAATGTGAAGTAGTCAAAGGTTATGTGCTCATTTCTTGGTCTCTCTGCAGCCTCAGGGCCAGCGTTTCATGACTGTAGGGGTTCTTTGTTAGATGGGTATGAAATGTTCCTCTTAATTTGTGAATACTTCCCTGGACTGTTTCCAGTCCTCTTTTATTAGTATCTCTCACTTTCTGAGGTTAGACTTAGATTTTGGAATTTCTCTTTTAAAAATCTCATGGCTTTCAGCTAACCCAGGTCCTTTTAATAGTGACCTTTGTTAGAGCTGAACCAATATCTTAACTCTCTTTGGTTCCCAGACTTGGAATAGACAGTAGCAACACATGAAGTTCAAGATTATAAAAGTAAATAAATTATGGCCCTGTTAAATTGCTGGTGAGACAATTTACATTGAACAGGTAGCAATAGTGGAAGAATGAAAACTGCAAATGTTAAAGGTTTTGGCTATGAATGAAAATATATTACTTAAAGATGAAAATATCATAGGAAACTTCGAAAACATACTATACCTTTTTGTGTGTGTGTAGGCACAGTGGTCATGGGGCAGTGTTATTTGCTGTCCATTTACACCATCCTTGTGGAAAGTCTTCCATTTAAGCAAATGGTAGCAGCAAAGTTGCTGCTTTCCCATCTGTTCAAGTTTTACATTTACGAATTCTAAGAGAAACACATAGGTTGGAAAGAAGCACTAAAAATTACACAGCTCAGCCTTCTGCTCAACTGAACCCAGTTAGGGCAGGGTGCTTAGGGCCATGTCTGGCACCTGCCCCCGTGGGCTCCTTGTTCCAGGGCTTGCTCACTCACACACAAACATGAGAATTCCTGTAATAGCATCTTAACTACATTCAGCTCAGTTAAATATATTATGTTCCTCTACCTTTGTTTCAGATTTTAATATCTGTGTAATATATACTGTTTCCATTTCAGTAGAGCTTAAATGTGGTTCTGAAACATGAAATATGAATTAGTTTGCACAAGTGTATCTAACTTGAAACAAGGTCTTTGTGAATGGCAGTTCTGGGCACATTGAGATCATTGGGACCCGAAGCAAATGCACATTTGTGGTCTAAATTAACAGCTAAAAGAATGGCATAAATGTCATGAACATCCAGATTTTTCAGTATTCTCAGTCACTGGGGCTTCTGAGGCATATCTGGTTTCTTGATGAAGATTTCTTGGACAGCATCTGGAATGAGTCAAATCCAGGAACATTCTTGATGGAAATAATAGCAGAAATACTGTAAGCCTTAACAAAAGTAAACTGATTCATTTTTTAGCAATGACAACTCTGTTTTCTCAATGCTAGTGCTTACTAAGCTGTCCTTGCAAACTGAACTCTCATTTAGAACTGAAAGCTAGCTCCCTATTGTAAATAAAATGGGCCCAGGGATTGAGCTTGAGCAGGGCAGCTGCTTGTTCATACTGTTAAATTGCTTCAATCTTCCTGGCATGGTTTTTACTTATACTGCCTAGAATCTCTGGGGCCTTTTTCTGTCCTGGCATATTTTGGGTGATATCCCATGCCAGGAGCCATTTCCAGCAAGTGGTGTAGGTGACTCCACTTCTGTTTCCTTCCACCCTGATTGGCCGTGCAACGCTATCCCAACAGGTTCTGTAGCCTCGAACGCCTCAAATGCCATCATGTCACACAGCAGGACAGAGAATACATGCCCTCAATATCATTCCATGGAAATACTGTCCTAATAGCTGTGATATAACCCTCATATACTAAAAAATTCCCACAAATATTGTCAGAGCATAGGGGGTGCTATGTAGGACTCAGAGGAGTACAGCTAAGAAGATTTTGGAGTCAAAATACAAGGTCAGATGTTTAGGAAGAAAGAGCACGAGCTGTGCATGCAAATGAGAACTGTTTTACCATGAACCTGATATTTATTTGTTTGTTTGTTTATTTATTTATTTTCTTTTTTAGGGACATTGCTGTCCAAGAGAATCAGGTGGACGTGTGCAGTGTGTAAGGTCAGTGCCATGGGCATTTTTCCCTATTGATTATTATCAATTGTATTATACTTTGTTCCAAGGAATATGCATGTTATTCCATCTAGATAGACTGTTCTTTGCTTCCTGTCAAGCCAAGTATGCTGCTGAGTAACTGAGTCATGGATGTGTATACAAGCTAAATCCTGTGGTCTTATCTCAGTCACACACACCCACAGTTGACTTAAGGAGGACCAGTGTGAAAACAGTGAAGTCAAGCATAAAGGTAGTAGAAAACTGAAGTTATTGTTGCCTGTCCCTGTAGCTCTAGAAACTACAGCAAAGCCATGACTGGTGCTGTCCATTCTGTATCTTGTCTGACTCAGTGGTTCTGTGACACAAACAACAATCTAAAAAGATTCTTTCTTCCTCTTTGTTTATGTGTTTACCCTTACATTTAAACTCTTCTCTGAAGACAGAGTTATGAATTTTCTCAGGGTCTCTCCTGCAGTCCTTAAGAGCATTTCACAAAAATTCTTATTCAGGAAAATTTCCTGAATATAATCTTGCAGCATCTTGTGGACCTTTGCCAGGAAGTTTCACAGGTACTGACAGCAGAGAGGTTAGAAATCTGGGATTTGGCTCCATTCAGCTCCAAATGGAAGTGCATGTGCTTCATGCTTGCAGGAAGTACTCAGGTTGTTTGCATTCCCTTGTTCAAGTTCCTGCAGTCTGTTCCAGTCCCTTTGCCACTCCAGTGCTAACTACACTGTCTGTAAGCAGCACTGTGCTAGGTGTGTTTCCAGTGTGACATCTCCCCTTTGGATCCACTTTTCTTTCTCACTCAGATTAGTGCCAAAGTTCAATTTCAGCACCATTAGCTTCATAACTGCTTTTTCCATTGCTCTTTTCATGGTCCATCAGCTTCATATCCTAGTGCACCCAGTTGGTGTGTCCATTCTGTGCCTGCTCTTACCAAAGGCCATTCCCCAGCAGCACCATCTCACCAGCTTCATTTTGATCTCATCCACAATCATGCTGCAGTGCCTCCATTCACATGTTAACTATATGCTGAAGAACAGTCCTCTCTGAAAGCAGCAGAGGAGAAACCAGGGGCCTGTTGTTTATAAGGAGCATCTGGCTTGGCTGGTAAATTTGGCCTGGAAGGAGTGTACTCAGGTACCAGTGGGAAGTGATGTACATAGCACCTGATCAGTTCAGAGTATAGTGGGAGACTTGAGTATCAAAGCTGGAGATAATAACTTATAAAATCTAAATTCCTAATACATACAAATTGTATTCTGTCCTCAGGAACTGTGGTGTCCCTCATAGAAAAATCACCTGGTGATTAAATTTCACATCTGTGACTCAAGACATGATATAGCTAGTGTTTTTTAAAAGTAGATCAGTGGGATATGAGAGAGAAAAATAAGTAAAAAGTAGTTTAATTTTGTTGTGGCTAAAACTTTGAGGGGAAAAAAAGCTTGACTGAGGATGATGCCTAGCATGGACAATTTTATCTTGCCTTGTCTAAAGTCACTGAATTTATGCCAGGTAAATTTGCTTTTGCCTGGGAAACTTGCTAAGATACAAGGCACATCATTGGTGGCACCACTTAAATCTGTTTGTCATGGATTTATGTGAGAATTGTGTGTTACATGAGGAAGGCATTTGGTCCACAGATTGAAAGGTTTTCTTTTGTAACATGGTGAATAAGATTCTACAACTTAGTAATGTTCATTGTGAAAATGTAGAGGATTTCTAGTGTTTAACTTGGATATATATTTTAAAGATATTTGTATTAACTGATAATTTCTTATTTAAGGGTCTGCAGAAAGCAAAAACCATGGAAGGTCATAAGTAGTAAGTACCTTGATAATTTTTTGTTATTCTGAAGAGCTAATAGTATTTGGCATGTTGATTTGTCACAGCCTGAATCCATTACACACTTATGTTCTGGCAACCAGTATTTATATGAAGTCACTGCTGGATATTCTATTAAAAAAAGAATAAAAATAAAACCTGAAAATTTGCCAAAGAATAGAAAAACAAGTGAATTGACTAGATAGAAAAATAAGATGTTATCCATTTCCTGTGTAATGGAAATAAGTATGAACTGTTCTATTTCAAGAGGTTTTACCCACAGTCTTCAACTTCAGAATAAAGTGCATCCTTCTTTCAGTTACATTTTCTGATTGTTTAACAAAATCTAAAGATGTCTGTGGTTACTTGGCACAAAATCCATTTTAAAAGATATTGACAAGTTTCTACCAATTGTCCACTAAATATTTCAGTATTGCGATTGAGTCTTTCATTGTCTTTACCTTAAACAGGAGTCAGTAAATTCTCCAATGAATTAGAAGCTGAATTTGTGTGTCATAGAAAAAAATTATATTCCTTTTGTTCCTTCTATTGGTTTATCAGTCTTGTAATTCAGGAATCTGTATTAATTGCAGGGTTTTTTAAAAAAATCTTTTTGTGACCTGATATTAATAACTTTTGTATTCCTTGCATCATGCCCCCAGAATTTCTGGTCGCCTCAACTGAGGTAGCTATCAAGTCGGGTTAACATCAGATGAATTATGGTGTTTTCTTCACTTGACCACTGAAATAAGATATCGCTTATTTGCACAGCTGTGGCAGAAGTTAAAACACACAACTAGCCAGAGAGCTATGGCCTTTGTAATACTTTGTGAGCAGCTTCATGTTTGTTTGGTTTTTTTTAATTATTATTTTTAAAGTAGTGCTTTTTTTCATTAAACTCTCATATTCCATTTTCTCATAATGCAGGGGGATTTTGCTATTTATTAGAGGTTATAGATTTTGTATTCTAAGGTGCAGGTCAATATAATCTTCACCTAACTTGATGTCAGAGTGTATAATGGTTTGTTTGTACAGAATTCCAAATGAAATGTGCTATGTTTTGTACATGTTTAGTTTCTGCTGTAGCACCAGAAGACTTTATTTTAATTAAATTCATAAATGAAACTCTTGGAACTAGTGTTTGTGTAGAATTAAATGGGTAAATATCTTCACTTTTCAAGTTTGGGGAAGAAGCCAAGAAGTGCTTTATATAAGCGCTTTTTCAATTTTGTCTTGCTCACTTCCAGTTTAATTTCTTACCCTCTCTTTGGTGATGAAGGCAATGTTGCCTCCCCGATTAAAAGTAACTAAAGCAAGTACCAAACCCCTTGTGAAACAAATTTCCTTTTCAGGTTAAACTGTGTCACTGCTAACTATGTAGGGTACAAGTGCCACCCATTTGTGGAACATTTGTACAATGGTTTGTTTTTTTTCAGAAGGGCTGCATTATTTATGTATTTATTTATATATGTGTCTAAATATATATATATATGTAAAATCAGGGGATCATAGAATGACCTGGGTTGGAAGGGACCTTAAAGATCATCTAGTTCCAACCCTGCTGCCATGGGCAGGGACGCATCTCAGTACATTACTTGATGTGTATGTTGGGTCTGAAGACCCCTTTGAGGTAGTACCTCTGAGTTTTCTGTGTGTTGTGAGCAGAGCCAGTGGTCAGTATCTCACTCATGAACTACAGTTTGTCGCTCCATGGGTGGAAGGTATCTTTTTTCCCAAATAAACCAAACCTCTTTAAGTTTCCTGGAGTATTCAATACAGCAATTTTTAGCACCCATTTACTTCTAAAGAGATACAGAATTACTGCAGCTTTTTATATATGCACAGAGGGGAAAATACTTGTACTTTTGCAGAAATTAATAATGGAATAACACTTCCTGAAAGATCAAGATTTCATTGTAAGGCTAGATTTTGTATTAAACCATCTTGGTGTGGTTTAGATATTGTGGAATATGGAGTCTGTAGATTGCACTTTTTACTAGTCTGCTACAGGAATGCGGAATCATCTGTCAGTAGAAAATAGTCCTTGAAAAGAAGATTGTGTTATGCACCCACAGTTGTCATAAAGAAAGATGTGAGCTATCAGTCACTCACATAACATGCTCAAAAGAGATGAGTGTTCTTTTAATTCTTTTCTATTCAATTACAAAAAATGGAGGGCAAGTAGTCTAATCCCATTCATAAAATGAACTTTGTGAAATCCTGACAATGCTGAAATGGCATGGAAATTGCTACCTGCTTAAGCATCTCTGCTAATTCACTTGAAACTCTCTTATTAATTATATAAAATTAAAAAAAATAAATTCTATGGGCCATGAGTCATAAATGCATTGGAAAGAATTCTTTGCAGATGATTGTTTGGCAGTACTACATGCTCAAGACATTTAAATTAAAAGCAGTGTATTATTTTCCAAAATAGGATGGGAAATATAGTACTTAATTAATTGCTTTGTTATTGAGGCATAATGAGGAAATGCATGTTAGAATATGTCTCTGCATGCAAATACATTATTCTTAATGGAAATGTATTAATCAAGCCTGTTAGACTTATTTGTTAAGCATCCAATTGAAGTTTTTAATCTTGTTTCTTAATATTCTAGCAATTATCCGAGGGAGTTTTATGATCAATATGCTCAAAGCCAAGAAAAATCTGTGGTCAATAAAATGCAACAGAAATACTGGAAAACAAAACAAACCCTTATAAAAGTTACAGGAAAAAAGGAAGATGAACATGTTGTGGCTTCAGATGCAGATCTGGATGCAAAGTTAGAGGTTTGTAGTATTTATTTAATGTGTATTCTCTGTTTGTTAATTTTTAAAGACTTCTAATTTCCACCAAGCCTCTAGTATTGTATAGACATAGTATATAATAATGTATATGTATTTTTATCAGCATTTTTACATAATGTTTTCCAAATTTTGACAAAAGTACCTATGTAAATTCAGATAATATAGTGGCATTTTGTAACACAAACCCCCATATCCCTCAAACTTCATTTGGAACCTAATATCTGTTAGATTTATTTTCATGTTTTGGAGACAGATTCTTTTTTTCCCTTGTGTTAACAGGGGAGAGCAGATGATTTTCCTTATCCTTTGCTTATGTCAGTTTAAGATGTTTGTTTTGGTTTTTTAATAGTATTCTATCCTGTATACAAGTGACATTCTTTATACAGTTAGAAAATATCACATATACCAGAGAAACATGCAATATACCGAGGAGGAGAAAGGTGCATAGTGAACTCTGCTCTCTGGAGGTTTTGAGCAGATAAAGGGCTTCTGAAAGTGTGTAAAGTATAACCAAGAGAAGGAATCCTGCTGTGTGACAAATACAGTCCTACTGTCAGTGTCCTCAACCCCACTGGGAAAAAAAATGAATGAAGGTTCTACAAATTGAAGAGACCAAATGTCTTTGAGGCAAAGCAGAAAATTGAGGATGGACTGCAGAGGTGTAATAATCTGGTCAGGGGCCATCTTAAGTTGTATTGGTATTGTTTTCTTACATAAGGGTAAACGTTTTGCCTTACTGGTTTTCTTGCAGTTTCTTATAAAAATATTGACATAGGATTCTTGGTTTATTCAGGTTTTAGGTGAAATCCAAGGGGCTGTTTTGTAACAAACAAATCTTTGTGGTTCTGGCTAGAATAGTGATAACTTATGACATGGTGATTCTAGCTATGGGGTCTTCATGATGGGTTATAAATCAAGAGTATTGATGAAAAGCAAGAGAGGAGGATGGAACCATATTTTATAAATACATACCTGAGTTTCTGCCAAGTCTACTGCATTGCAGATTCATTAAGAAGGATGCTTTGTTAGCTCAGGTGGGATTGGAAATAATGGAAACTTATGTTTGCTGCATAAAAAACCAATAAGCATGTTTTCACTTGGCCAGTTTCTCACCTGCAAGTCACACTCCCAATTTAAAAGACAAGACCTGTATAAATGTACAGGAAGTGAAGCAGTTGCAGGGGGAGACAATTACTGTGCCAGTAGTCCATTTTAATTAGAGCTGTGTAATGTTTGATATGGTGGAGTTTCGGTTTAAGTTGCAGCTTGGGGGTTTTGGAAGGACAGACAGAAAGAGTAGTAATTTTTCTACTTCCTAGAAACAGTCTTCAAATTTAGTCAAGATTACTTTTTTTTCCCCCTCTACTTCCTTTGGAAACTACTGCTTTGTAAATTTGGTTATGCCAATAAAACATTCAGTTTAAATCAGCAACTGTGTTGGCATACCTGTGCAAGTGTGTTCCACAGTGTGAAGAATTCAGTATGCAAATTGTGAAACTTGATAAACACGATAGACATTTCAATAGCTCTTTGCTCTGCTGTGAGTTTTTTTTAGAAACAGATTTGTACATCTTCATATATATCCAAAGATATCAATTGAAAAGAACCTCCAACACATGTAGTTTGGCTAACTATCAGCTGTTTAGAATAGGTCTCGTTCCAAAGCTGTTATTTTCTTTATTTTCCTTCTGTAAGCATTGATTGGTCTGTCTGTAGTTTCAGTGAATAACGTAATTGAAAGAAAAGCACAATTGATAAGGAAAAAAATACTTCCAAACTGGAAAAAGTGTTCGTTGTTCAAGAAGAAAGTAACAATCTCTAATAATTTCTACAAAAACACTAAACTGTCTTTCTTGTATTTTGTCAGTGTTTCTTCCATACACTTAACAAATTTTTTGTATATTTTGTTTCAATATCAGCTGTTCCATTCTATTCAGAGAACATGTATGGAGTTGCTGAAAGCAATTGAACTGTATCAGAAAAGGATTTGTTGTAAGTATGATCAAACACAGTAGTTAAAATGACAAGAGGGTCCTCATTATGGACTTGTAGAACAAGTGAAAAAGTTAAAATTAAAATGATGAACTAACAGGTTCATCCTATTTAAAAGTAAAGCTAATGTTCCTTGCAGACAGCTGAAGGCAGATTTGCTTTTTTGCTTAAGATTTCCTAGTTCTTAAGTTTTGTGTATTGATATTATGCAGTGATAGGTAACAATTACTGAAGAAAGCTTGCTTTTTAAGTTTGTTTTTTTTTCTCCTGTTACTTGCTTGGCTTGTTTAAATTCAGAAGTATCTTGTCTAGAAATCCTAACTCCTTTCTAAACTGTTCTATTGTTTTGAGGTTGGGGTTTTTTTCTCAAAATCAGGATTGATGATGAAAAGTATTTGGCTTACTACCAGTTTTATTGATAAGTAATCCATACTATTACAATGAATTTGATAATGTTGACTTGACTGTAACAAGTGTACAGGAATTAGGAGTGACAGTCATTAGTGAGAGGCAGGGTCCTAACTGGGAATGTCCTCTATAGATTCTCTGCAGTCAATATTGTTTGATCCTCTGCAGATGTGATTTCTGTCCCGAAGAAGAGACTCCATCTTTGGAGTCATCTTTGAGTTTTGTTTTTGTTGGTTTTTTTGTTTGTTTGGTTTGGTTTTTTTGTTTGGTTTTTTTTTTTTTTGTTTGGTTTTGTTTGTTTTGATTTTTTTGTTTTGGTTGTGTTTTGGGTTTTTTGTTTGGTTTTGGTTTTGTTTTGTTTTTATTTTGTTTTGACATTTCTTTCTTTTTTGAAATTCAATGTAAATTCCCTTTATTGAATGTTACTCATATTTTCTCAAATCTTTTAGTTTTCCTTTGCCTATCCAGAGAGTCAGAGATAATGTTTCAGTGTCCAGCAGTAAAATTAGAATACAGAATAATAGTGTATTGAGTTCAAAAAGTGTTTCATGGTAGCATGTGAACTCTCTGAGGCAAAGATGTGCATGCAGCACATTCTGCCAAAGTATGCTATGAGTCTGGATTGGATTTGACAGTCAACATTTGGAAAAATGGCAAGAGGACTTCAAGAGATCTTCTTTGATTATATTAGGCCATTCTCCCTCTTGATAGTGGGAAGAAATTGGTACCATAGGAGGCAGCCACTTTAGAAGGCAAAAAGATGAAGGCATCATGAAATGTTCTTGCAAGGATATGAGATCATGAAGATCCATGTTCCCAGTTTGGAGATAGTCAAGAATTTAGTGTAAAAACACTTTTACTTCATCTTCAGGTTTAAAAAAACAATCAGTTTGAGGTAAACATATTTCAGACAGTTGAAATATAATGTTTGAATTGTATAGAATGTTAAAGTTGTCAAATAATTTTGCAAAGTAATTTGAGAATAAATATTCTTTAAAATGAAGTGCTAGATTTTTCATCTGAAATTTTTTTTATGTAGTCAAGCATGAAAAATGGTGAGCAAGAGTAAGGCAAGTGAAAGAGCTTCGGGTAGTATAACCTGGAATTAGTTTCAGTGAAGTATGCTACCAAAGACCAGCTGAGGCAGTCTGGCTGGTAAAAAGGAATTAAAAACCAAACCAAACAAACCAGAAAGATCCCAGGAAACCCAAGACTAAAAGATACTGCAGTCAAGACTGGGCCCTTTTTGCAGTCTAACCAACCTAATTTTATTTTGTTTTTTCAAGAAATAGCGTGTTTCTCCTGTTGTCTTTAGGCACTGATAGAATTCTGTGATTCTTGTTAAGTACATCAGCCAATGTCCCAAGTGAATCAGATCTTCTGTTTACTAAGTGCAGGAATTCTATGAAATTATTTATTTTTGCTTGGCTGCTTGGACTTAGAGTGACTTTAAAACTGGCCTAACATCAAATAGTTTAAGCTGTTAGGAACCACTTGTATAACATATTTGACCACTCATTTATTTCTTGTTAGTTCTGTCTCAGGAAGAAAATGAATTGGGGAAATTTCTTCGATCACAGGGTTCTCAGGATAAAACGAGAGCAGGAAAAATGATGCAAGCTACAGGAAAGGCCCTCTGCTTTTCTTCTCAGCAAAGGTATATGGGTCAACACTACTGTCTGATTTACAGAGTACATGTGATAATGATAGTTGATTCACCATTGGCATAATTCATTCAACCAATTGAAGTGTGTGAGGAACCAATCGATAGGAAAGTTATTATTGACCAAATCTGCTGTAGTATTGGCAATATTAGGGGCTTTGTAAATTTTGCCTGATCCTGCTTTTTGTCTTAGGGACTTGGTATGTCTATATCTCCAGAACCCCCACCTGTGGCTGTTCAGCTCAGCAGTTCTAAAGCTGTACCAGTGCATTTCCATGGCCTCTCTAGCAGTGGGCTTGTAAAGGAACTGATGTCAGGTCCCTCTCCTGCTTGGTGTCACTTCTCACTCTGCAGAGAAATCCTACAGCAGGCTCACTGGAGAAGTGTCTAGGTCCTGGGAGGGAGGGAATGAGTAAGAAAATACTTTTATCGTGGGCTATGGAGTCTTGTACCTCAGGCAGACAAAGGAGAAAGAAAGAGGAGTCTGAATGTCATTTACTGCTTTAACCTTACACTGGGAGAAGATCCTAGATTCCTACTGAGATCATGTGGGTTGGGTAGAAGCAAATCAGTAAAAGGTAAGGAATCCAGAGGGACCACATGCACACAAATACATGCTGTTATCCAGAGCCCTTGTTGTCTCACTGACCTGGTGTTTGCTCAGGGAGTGCAAAAGTAACAGTAACTGATGGCATTACAGGTACTATGATGCTTTTTTAAACAATATTGGGACTACAAAAGTTTGAAATTCATCATCACTTACAAGGGAAAATTCTATCCTATTATGTTTTACAGGATTTGAGGGGGCTTTTAACTACTGTGATACTTTCCAGCTTTAGCTTAACAGTGCAGCTGTGTGGCTCAAAATAAAACATTGTATACAAAGCACTGACAATTTCATATGTTTACCTTGGGCTAGAGTTTGATCATTAGCACCCCCAGTAACAGCCATGAGTGGGATCTTTAAAACACATGTAAGGCACCTTGAAGCAAAAGCATTGATGATTTGCTTCTTCATAAAGCTTAACTGTTTATAGAAATCTCAGTGTATGACATACAAACTGAATTTTCCCTCAGGTATCTGGGTAAGTATTTGTAGCATGAGGAAAAAATGTGAGGGGGAAGAAGGCCAACTAAGATGTTAACATTTTATTGTATCTCTTGATCAATGAATCTTTTTCAATAAATTCCCATAAAAATATAACAAACTGTTTGTCTTTCATGTCTTGAGCTATCCTCAAACTCGTGTTGAATTTGGGACTGCTTTTTATTTACATTGCATGCCAATAGTTATCTCAGTAGCTAGAGATGAAGAAGACATAATTTCTTGGTTACTGGAGCTGAAATTAGAAATTATCTTAAGCCAAGGGTCTTCCTAGCATGTTTTACTAGTTTACTAATTCTGTGCTGGTGTAGAACTGATTGAACCCATTCCAGTGAGGTGGCTGCTGACAACCGAAAGGAAAGCAGAAGCAGCAGGAGGAAGCAAAGCAAAAGTTGGAGTAATCCTATCAAGTTCTGAGATCCCATTAGGAGCCGATATGACGACATAGGGAAGACGACAGTGTCCCCTGCTGCCTTTCCAAAGTGTGGTTGCCAGAAGAAGCATTTAGGAAAATGTCCAGATCCTTCCAGAAGATAAATGTCCTTCAAAGGATTTTATTTGATTGATGACTGATTTTATTTACATTTGCATTTGAAGATTAAAAGGCTAATGGAAGTGGGTTTTGTGAGGTTTAACATGACAATCCTGATACATCTGTTGTATTTATCCAGTAATGAATTACCTCAGGTACATTTTTAGAGTTGTTAAATGAAATTTATGAAGAGGAATGGGGTAATAACATTTATACAGGTGGCTCGGCTAACTAAAATATATAGACACATTAGAGGAGATGTAAGAGGTTCCTTTTCCACTGCCAAGTATAAATAAAACTTCACTTCTTGAAAAGAAAGGTTGCAAACACAATATCCATGCAAAATTGCCCCCATTTATGTGTACCCCCAACCAAGTTGTAGTACCATCTGAACATACACTAGCACTTTAGTGAACTCTTTTGTCTGTGTATGTTTTTTTTGATTGCTAGTAAACTGTCGGTACTTGTATTAATCCTTTGTGGAACAACTTCTCTAACATGTTTATCTCCTTCCTTTCTTTCCTTCACGCCTTCCTCCAGATTAGCACTCCGTGCTCCTTTGAGTAGATTGTATCAAGAAGTGGAGACTTTCAGATACAGGGCCATCTCAGATACGTGGTTGACAGTAAACCGAATGGAACAGTATCGGACTGAATACAGAGGAGCTCTTCTCTGGATGAAAGATGTGTCTCAGGAGTTGGATCCAGATCTTTATAAGCAGATGGAAAAGTTCAGGAAGGTATGAAGTTTCCTGTAGCTTCCTGGAAGGGGATGCCTGATGAATGACAATGAAACATGGTTTTGATTCTTCCAAGGAGGATATAATTCAGAAGTATTAAGGATGCCATTTATCCTAACTAATCTTTTCTGTGTGGGCTCTAAGGAAAGGCATTTTTCAGTAGTATATTCAACTCCAGCATACATCTTTATAATTTAAATAATATATGTTTTTGAAGAAGCTTATCTAATTTTAAATACTTAGCTGTGATGCTTGAATGACTAATGGAAGAAGATATGTCTGCTGTCAGACAGGGAAGGGAAAATAGATTTTTGCTACTCAGGTACGGACTAACAGAAACACTGTACTATCTGCTGCTAAATTTTGGGGAGCAGTTTAAAAACAACATTTTCAAAATTGACTATTGTTAGGTTTTGGGAGGGAGTTGCAAATCTGGAATTTATTTTTATGGTTTTTATGCAGTTCAGCATGACTCTTGGGCAACTGTTAAACACAAAAGCTGCTAAGAATGCACTCTCCATAAATCTCCTTCATTCAATGTCACTCAAGTTTGCTAAACTCCTTCCCTCCCACAAGACTCCAAAATCACAAATCCTAGGTGGTAGTCTGCAGTTTTGCTACCAGGCATAGAATTTATTTGGGCTGATGCTATTGCAGTTGGTCCAGGAATGCTTGTGAGAACATCACATTTGTTAGTGAGGCTCTAGAGCTGATTTTTTTTAACAGTCTGTAATGTTCACAGTTTGCTGTTTATACATGTTGGCTGTTAAGAGGAGTTGGGATCCTAGGTATAACCTAGTGGCTTGTGCTTTGAGTAAGGGCAGTAAAAAAATTTACAGAAATCACGTGATAATTGAAAACAGAGGTCTGATAACAGAAATTGTATCAGTGTGTGCGTGCATATATGTGTACTCATATGGCTTAGAGATGGGTAATGTATAAAAAAGAATACCTGGTTCATCGATGGCTTAAGCAGTCTGTAACTGGAAATGTTTGGAGATGAAAGATACTTAATTCAGGATTTCAAAAGCTTGAATAAACCATCCTAATGGGAAAGGACTGGCATGCATCTAGCCTATGCCATTTTTTGTAAACTGAGGTGGTGACAATAACAATTAAGGAAGGGATGGAACAAATAATACTCCAGTTAGTCATCTAATCTTTTTTTAATGCCTCAGTACAGGGTATTCTTGTAAGTCTTGTGGCACCAGACGTGTATTTTTATTATGCCTTGTGGGAAATGTTTGTAATGGCAAGTTCTTGCAGGTAAAATAATTGGTGTGGTCTTGGCCTCAGCTGATTGCTTATGTATAATGTTTGATTTATTAGGAAAACACTTGAAAATGGAATGTTAGAATGAAGAAAGCAGTACTGGTCATAGAAAACTGATTTATAGCTTTCTTGCAAAACAAATGCTATGGAAGGCATAAATTACATAAATGACATAGTAATTAAAATAATGTATGTTTTGTGCAGTGAGCTGCTGTAGTTAAGAATTTTGATGTTAAATTTCAGCCATCTTGGGTCGCTGTCAGCCAAAAAAACTTTTTATTGTTTTGAAAGTTCTCACCAAACTTAGTAGTCAAAATGTGGAAATACTAAGTATTTTGAAATATTTCTGGGTCTGAACTGAGTTACATTGTGACATAAAGAAATGACTGTAGTTTCTAAAATCCTGTGCCATTACCTCAAATAGTTAAAAAAAAAAGAAAACTTGAAGGTCTCTTGAACATTTCTTTTCCCCCAACTTGCGGTCAACTGAAAACCTTTCAGTACACGTTGTAAAGCAGAGAACAAAAAGCTCTACATTTTGTAGCCAACAAAGTAAAGAAATGCCCCTGGTGTCCACTTCCCTACATATCCCATCTGTGAAACAGGCGTATCAAACTAGTCTTTGAAGATTTTACTTGCAGGAAATAAACTTTTTCGTTTTTAATTTTGGAAAAAAGTTACTACAAAAAATCCTCAAGCATAATGTTCCTAGGTAGCTGTTGCTGGGCAAGATGCAGGAGTTTGGTTTTTAGTGCTTTACAAATGTTGTAAGCAAACAGAACCAATGGTGGAATCTGTAGTCCTGAATAATTAAAGTAGAGGAGTTTTTATTCTCTTTTTTTTTTTCAATTATTGCTTGCAGATCTTAATTGTGCCATAGTGTGGCAGTGTAATGCTGAGGTTTTAGGGCTTATTTTGGATCTGTAACAACAATTTAAGAAATCATGCTAGTTTGGTGTTGATAGAGATATCATAATTACTGGTGTAAGGTTTTTGCTTCCAAAATACACCATTGCCAGAGAGAAGTGTTTTGATCTGGAACTGCATATCTAGTGATACATCAGCAAGTAGTTATTGAAGCTGATCCTGTCAGAGCACTTGAAAGAAAGTTTTCTTCAGACTTCTTATTGTAAAAATCCTAAGTATTACTTTAGTAAACTTTTTTTTTTACATCAAGTAAACAGTGCTGGTTTAATGATCTTTAATGCACCTAGTGCATCAGCAGGATTTATATCACTTGGTTAAAGGACTGTTTTCCAAGTATGTAGCCTTTTATAATGTAATCCTAAATGTATCATTATGTATACAGATATGGTACTTGTTTTCGGAGACCAAAGCTAAGTCAATCCAGATGGGTTTTTCATACCTTCCCTGAGAATAGCTCAGGCTAAAAGATCAATAGTTGAGTCAGTATTTTCAGAGCTGATAAAATCTGAGTTAAAACACTGGCATTTTTGTAGCTCTCTTTCAAAACAATGAGGTACTTGAAAGAATTTTCTAATGCTGTTCTCAAGGCGTCAGGCTAAATATGTGAGACCCAGCAATACTGCCACTTTCAGCGTGTCTCAGAATACTACAGAGCAGCCTTTTTGCACTGTTGTTTGAAGATATCTGTATGATTGTAGCTACTTGAATCAAACCAAGGAAATAGGTGAAGTATTTACTTTTCCTTGCAGAGTTCCATAAATGCTATGTAACCTCATTCTTTTTTTTTTTTCCTATCAACAGTTTTTATGAACAATCCAGTGCTGTTCTGGGTATAGTTTGTGTTCAGAGTTTGAAGTGTTTCTTGAGAGAATCTAAACAGCTGTGGCAATGCTGTGATATTTAAAAGAATTTGAGTTTGTATGCCTTTACCAAACTCTCCACACTGATCAGGGTTTTAAGGTTCTTAAATCTGGGCTGTTATATCAGTCAGGAGACTGTACACTGTAACATAGCCTCAAGCTTCCTCCAGCTCTGAAAAAGTTCAACTTTTCCATGCATTTTCTGAGAAGGAACATGGCAATGTGTAGTGATAGGGTATGATACCAGGCAGCAGCCTTCCATGTGCAGCCTACAGAAGCACAAAAGGGACTGCTATTCAATTTACTTAAGCTGTCTCAGATACATATATAATTCCATATAGACTTTGTCTCATTAAACCTATGCATTTCAGTGCCACCCATAATAAGTAAAAAGTAAGAGCTGAAAAAAATTGTCATGTTGAACTTTAGGCTAACTCTAAGAAAAACTATGTCTGTGACATGATAGGATTTTTATCATGCTACATTGATAAAGCAAGTTAATCCTTTCTGTATTTGTTTTTCACTTCCCTCATTCTTCTACTCCTCTGCATCCCCTTCAGAGGCTTGGACCAAAGCTGGAGTGTCTCTGTAAACACCCAGTGGCCATGCTGGGATCCCTGAGACAAGCTGCACTGCAGCAGTGTACTGAGAACAGAGCACCCAGAGGGTTGGGCTCTGTTTCTTCCTGTTGTCTAGTCCTCTCTGCTTTGCCACATCTGCTTTTCTAGGAGCTGTGCTTCTGTGTGAACCAAATGAAGCTCACATGGGACAAGGAATAGTTTGATGCTGTGTATGGGTAAAGAGTGATGCATGAGCTGGTTGCAGCAGAGCTTTCTAAGTGCTATTAGATTGATCTGCTTGGCATACCATGCAAGTCTCGTCTCTGTCTATGGTACTTGGGTATTACAGTAATAAATAACTGAGTTTTTAAAACAATGTGTATTAGATGGGGTGTTGTCTGCAAAAAGGGATTGGTTTGGGTCAATATAGTTGTGTGGGATCTGTGAGGGAAGCAAGTAGTATGATTTGTGCTGGGCCTCCTTGCTGAACCCTGAACTACTTCAAGAGGTGTTAAGGAAGTAAAATAGATCCTACCATGGAAGAGAATTGTCAGGATATTCCCCCACATATCCTAAGTTATTGTAGAACCCTTAATGTCTAGTTGTTGCTTTGCATGCAGCTGTTGAGAAACTTGCAAGCTTGCAGCTGATTTGTTTGGAGAGAGTTTATCTCAAGTTCTTCCTAGATGTAGTCCTCTATATACTTGAAACAAAGTGAATACCCTTAAATGGCATCTTAAAGATAAATCTGGCAAGAGAAAAGGAAAGGCAGTGAGGAAAAGGAAAATTCAACAAGAAGAACTCACAATGACATAATAACTTAAACTGTTGTTTTTATAAATGTACTAATGTAGGGAGTGGCCGATCTGTGCAAGTTCTCTTTAAATATCTTGTAAGAAATAAAAGTTAAAGCTTGTGTGGACAGCTGGGAAATAATGAAGATCTAAAAAAATCCATTGATTAAAAGGTCAGAGGGGAAACTGAAGTATATGCATTCATGGTAAAGATCTCAGCAAGCATGGATAAGATACATCTGCCACAGCCTTTTGGGAAGGCTCAGGACCTACATCTCAATTCCCATACTATTCCCTTGCCTACTAGCACTGCTGGTGTTGAGTGCATTTTGGCTTGTGTGATGATGAGGGCACTGTACCATGTTACAGCATCAGCTGCTGCTCACCTGCCCATTAACATCAGCTGCAAACAGCCCTGCAAACCCGAAGACATTGTAGAAATGTGCTGGAGTATTATTTTAATTTTTTTTTTCAATTCTGTGTTACTTTTGGAAACTCTTGGAAAGTTGAGAAAATGCAAAAAGCCTAGGAAAGGAGAAAATCCAAATATGATGTTGATCTTTGAAAAAAGAACAGACTTGGCAGTT